GTGTGTGTGTGTGTGTGTGTGTGTGTGTGTGTGTGTGTGTGTGTGTGCGCGCGCGCGCTCGCGTGTGCACACACTGGATTTGGAAAAGATGCCCAAGAAGTGCTACAGGCTCAGTGTCCCTGGCATTTACATCAATGCCCTCTAATGGGCTTCTGAGGGGTTGAGTTATGGGTGTGTATCTAACGTTAAATACAGAACAGGAAAGTGAGAACTGCTGAGACCCTCCCAATAAAGACATTTTATCTTCAGGAGCACCCTGCCCCCATTTCTGTGACCACGTCTGCTTGCTCCAAGAAAGCCTTGCTCCCAACCAAGAGGAACTGCGATCTCATCCCCGACTAAGAGCTTCAGCAATCCGTTTCCTTTCAGAGGCAGATCTCCCCTCTAGCAAGACGGGCACCTGAGAGTCCAGGGGTTGGCTCTGGTGTGGATCCAAAGGAAAGGCTGTTGAAGGCTGAAGACATATCCTGGAAAGTGGTGACTCCATTTTCTCCCTTCTTATGATTTTGGTGATGCTTGACTCTCTCCTAAAATGTCCTTGAGACCCGGGGGGGAGGAGGGGAGGGAGGGGGAGGTTGTCCGGAGGGTGTCTCAAGAATATAGTGGGGAGGGGAGGGGAGGGGAGGGGAGGGGTGGATCTATTGCTGCTCCAAACACTTCTCTCCCCACAGCCTAGGATACCTGTGTCCTGGCGGCAGAGATGAAAGAGGAGTTAGGGCTGGTAGGTGGGACTGAGCACCACTCAGGCGGTACACACACACACACACACACACACACACACACACACACACACACACACACCCATTTATATACACATACACACATATATGTGTACACACACACATACACATAACACACTCCAATTCAGTACCTTCTTTAGTATTTAGCTCCCACCTCAGGATAAGGGACTCTTTTAAAACACTCAGTTAATCAACTAATCTAATTATTCCCACTCAACTGATCTAATCATTCCCAATTCCATTTACCCCTCCCCCAGCCATATTCTTCATTGGGTACCATCGGGAAGACCTGGAGATCTTTCAAAGCATCCCCTCCCCCTCCCCCTCTTTCTCTTATCCTTTCTGTTATAGTCCTCACCGTGGACCAACAGGGAAAGAAGAGAGAGTGTGTGCAGGGGAGAAGGCAGGAAGGCATGCAACATTTATGAATTCTATCTGGGCAGGCGGCCTAGGGCAGGGCTTGAATGTCAGTATGGCACAGAACAAGGGACAGGCCCCACCCCTCTACCCTGCAGAGGTTGACACTCTCTCCCCACTTGGAACAGGTAACACCCACTGACAGAGAGAATACAATTCAAGACCCTGTTTGGGTGGAGAAGCCCACGGAGGCCTCCCTCCCCTTAGCCCTCAGCCTGATGGGATGTGACAGCTGTAATTAGAAGCAAGATGCCTGCCTGCATAGCCACCCTAGTTTCCAACATTAATAGCAAACAAGAGGAGAAGAGAAACCCTCCAGAAAGGCTGCCTCCATCCCCTCCCCTCTCCCTTTCTTCCTCTTCTGGGGTGATCGGTGGGGAGCAGCTCAGGATGTCTGAAGCCTACTCCATCTTCTTTTTGGTCTGTCAGGGTCCTAGGGAGTAAGGTCTGAGGTCTTTTTAGGGGGAAGCTTAGGATATCATCCTTGACTCCCAAACAACCAAATTACTTTAGTTTGAGAAGCCCCCCTCCAAGTCTGCCCGCTTAGCTAGCTCTCCCTAAGGGAGCAATCTCACTTCCTCTGAGTTTTTCCACATGGGCCTTCCCAGATGGGCCTTCCCAGATGGGCCTTATCTTCCTAAGGATAAGTGAGTGCACGGGACCACCATGATGGCCTTTTAGGGAATGACTTTGCCACCCTCCTGTAGAAAACTGCTGGTTAAAAGCAGAAATCCTCCTTTGTGCCCTCGGCTCCAGCTGGTCCAAGAGCCATATTTCCCCCTTTCCTCTTTCTATCTTATAAATTCCTTCCTCCCTCCTTCCATCTTCTGGCTGCTCTCTGAGCCCTAACTTACCCAAGTTTTCTTTGGGGGCCTGACTCTCTACTCCTCTCCTGCTCCATCCCTCATATGGAGAGCACCATCCTAGGCAGCAGAGAGAAACCATAGAAGAAACTACACCAAATGGGAGAATATTTCGGAGTTAGAAGTTGGCCTCAAGAAAGCTATCTCATTCATCCCCTGGCCTTCAAATAGGCGCTAAATTATTCTCTTTTTGGGGGGGGGGAGGCAAGGGAAGGCAATCAGACTTAGGTGACTTGCCCAGGGTCACATTAGTAAGTGACTGAGGCTGGATTTGAACTCAGGTCCTCCTGACTCCAGGCCTGGTGCTCTATCCACTGCACCATTTAGCTGCCTCTGCCTCTGAGTTATTCTAAGCAGAGGACTGCTTGCCTTTTCTTTAATAGCAAGTAGGAACAGAGATTTGTTGTGTGATTTCATTGGTATAAGGAACTCCCAGATAAGGAAATTCCCTTCACCAATGCAGGTGTCACTTTCTCTGCATTTCTAGTCTTAAAGAGGTGCCTGGAGTAGATGAAACAGTTTGCTCAGGATCACACTACCATAAGTATCTAAGGCAGGATTTGAACTCAGGACCTCATGGTTCCCATCAAAGCTCTGTAGCCCCTACACCAAGCTGCCCATCTAAGACTAAATAGAAGAAAAAAAAAACCCTGCCCCCCCTTACTTCTTTAGTAAATCTAGCCTTGGTCCCTATTGCTATTTCACCCCTTTCCTATTCCCAGCTTTCTTGGCAGGGCATCTTTTCTGGCTGGCCCTGAAGGAAGTGAATTCATAGCCAGCTCTTGGCTATCTGCGGTGGATGTGCCATCCTTTTTGGATTAACCAGGGCTATTGTTTTACCACCTGCTGACTTCCTCTCTCTGCCACCCAGTAATTTCTTTCTAGGGGTTCATCAGTAAGCAGGAAAAACATGAACCTGAACAAAACACAATCAAAGAAAAGAATATACCACCAAAATGACACACACAACACGCATACATGTATGTCTGACATATATGTCTATATTACATACATGTTTGTATAGCATGTATATGTCTCTCTCTGTGTACATAGTTGTGTCTCCATTGCTAGAGAGAGACTGGCATCCAATCATTATGCATTCCCAAACCAAATCATAGAGTTGTTTCGTTTTCATTTTCCCCTATTTGGATTATTCATCCATTTTTTTTTTCAGTCCAGATAATGAACTGACTGTTAGGTGAGGGTATGAATGCTTTTTGTGTCTATGAGTCAGGAGTTAGTGCCTGGGACTTTGGTTTCCTTCTTCCTTTTTCACTTTATGCCATCACTAATGAAAACTGATAGCCAATTAATTTTTCTCTATAATTAATGTCTGTCCCAACCGCACTCCCCTCTCCTGGGCTCGCAGCTGAGGCTACACTAGAGGGTAGATTTATTCTCTCCTTCTCTCCCCAACCCCCAACCCAGCCCCCCTGGCAGAGGTTGGTATTTGCAGCCTTCTCCCCTCCCCCCAGCCCAAGATGGCAGGAATGAGCATAAGTGAGATGGGGGAGGGATAGAAAGCAACAACTCAATTCTGCCCCAGGGGACTAATTTTCCAGTTAATTAGGACATGCAAATGAGTCAATTGCTCAGTTAATGCTCACCTTGGCACATGGCCCTGCCCCACATTCAGACCACTTCTGCTGGCCATTGGAGGTTGGGCCTCTGTCTGGGTCCCTGCCTGGTAATCCTTGACCTTGTAGCCAGGCTGTATTCCACGCCCTCCTAGCCTGGGCCACAAGCCAGGCCTGGTGGCTGAATTCCCTACTGGCCTCCTCAGTTTTGCTTCTGGCTCTAGGAGGTCACTGGCTGGACCTCTCAGCCCAGCCCAGGGCATTATTTGCCTCCTTCCTCTTCTAAGGGACTGCTCTCTCTAAGCCTACACTTGCCCAAGTTTTTTAAAAAAGACTTGATTTGATCTTCCTCTCCTAGTTCCTCTCTCCCAGCAGAATCTTAGGGGAACCCTTGGATTCCTTCCTCAAGACAGACAGACTTTTAGGAGAGAAAGTAAACCAAGTTTCCCTGGAGCAGACTTGTCTCCCTCAGCCTTGGGGTTGGGGGAGGAAAGGTGATCATGAAGAGCCGGGCTGGATGCAGGGTCTCTCTTCAATCCTTATCACTGAGGTGTAACTCTGCCTGGCTGTTTACCTGGCTGGTGTCTGCAATAACTTATACTTTTCCACTGAGGGAGAAGGAGGGAGGGAAGAGGTACAGGTCAGGGGTCTTCACTCCCAGAAACTCTTCCCAGAAGCCTAGTATTCTGAGGACTTGTCCCCTACAGCTTTCTGACCTGCCAGTAAGCTCATATTTCTATAGCACACACCACCCTGTAACAACCACCTGTTAGGAAGGAAGAGCTGGTATTATTATCCCATTTAAAAGACAAATAACCTGAAGCTCAGAGAGGGGGAAGTAATTGGTCCCTAGTTACACAGCTAGTGTCAGAGGAAGGATTCAGAGCTAGGTCTTCTAGGTCCGGTGCCCTTTGGACACTGAAGCTGCCTCTGACAGTGGAGCTTAACAGACAATCCAGTGCCGTGCCCTGGTCCCAAACCCCAGGGCTTCAACACTGAGACCAATGGTAAGGTCTGTGGGGAGGGCGCAGGACGAGGAGGGGGGAACTAATGAGCCAACTTCTAATGGAGATGGGTTGGGTGAGCTCCTGGCTCTATTTACAGATAACTCTCTATCATTTTCTTTTAATGTTGTTGCCGCTTGGATTCTCTCCAACCTCTGGTCTCTGCTTTCTCCAATCCAGCCACCAACTGGGGTTATTGGCCCCACAGTGCTAGAAGTTGTATATCTAGCAGTGGTGCTAACCAAATAATACGCACAATTGGTGGGTTAGGAGGAGGAGAGAAAGGGGCCCCGATCTGTCTGGACTGGTATTGATTGTCAGAGGCAGAGGGGCTGTGGAGATGACCCTTGGAAGGCAGGGATCAGTGATTTTGTTACAAACAC